CCATCCCGTATCCACCTATCAAGGAAACCCCTTGGTCAGACACTGTTCGCAGTTCCGATCATAACACCTTATTCGAAATAAAATTAAGATAGTAGTGGCCTTACTACTAGCGCTATAGTCTCTTAAGCCGTCGACATACGCCACTCCTTATAGGACAAAAGATTTAGATATTCTAGTTAGCTAGATTTTCGCCTAGCGCTATAGTCTCTTAAGGCGCTAACTTACGCTACTTTCTACAAGAGAAAAGATTTAGATATCTTAGTTCGCTACATTTTCGCCTAGCGCTATAGCCTCTTAAGGCGCTAACTAACGCTACTCCTTACGAGATAAAAGATTTAGATATTCTAGTTAGCTAGATTCGCAGTAGGTATTGCGGTAAAGTCGCCTTATTCGAAAAAAGGTTGAGGTAGTAGCGGTCCATTATATACTATAGTAAGTAGAGAAGAATAGCGAAGGAAGTTAAAAGAAGAGAAAATTGGTAATCTAAGTAGGAAAAGTTTATTACTTATATACTAGAGGTTCTAAACCCTAGCCAAAAGGACCCGAACAATGGTATACCATTGTTGGTGGTGCCAAACTACAGCGAGTTAGCACGGGACGGGAACTAACTGAAGATGGCTAAAGTGGTATAGGATTGTGGTATAGGATTGTTTTCTCAGGTAGAGACTTCGCGGGGTGCAATCTTCATGATTATTACATCGTTCGAACGAGCTCGTCGAGGCTATACGAATGCGACCATTTGCAAAGCTGTAGGTGCTGTGGTGGTGGAGTTCTGAAAGTGATGTGGTAAGGTAGGGTTGCGCGAGCTTTGCGTTAGGGTAGCGTTTACCATACCGTAGTACGGCGGACCTTATTAACTTAGCCTCGTCACCTCAGCCTTATCCAGATATCCCCTAGTGATCCTACGATTTTCCTAACTATAGTCTTAACCAGCGCGATAGCTTGGGCGTCGTGCCCAAAAAAGTCCAACCATACTAGGAATTGAACTAACGACCTTGGTGAGGTATATATATTTGAGTTACCCAAATTTGGTCAATAATTACTCTTTCTTCCTGACTAACGAGGGGCGACCTATACTACTAGCTGTGACTTTGTCCGACCTTTAGGTGGTATAAATTGAGGGGCCTTACTAGGGTTACGAGACTAATCGCTATGCTATGCTCTTGCCGACTAGCTTTCCGAATTAGAATCTAGGTAAAGGTAGTAGGGTCGTCGGGAGGCTAATAGATACCCTTCGGGAGCTACTATGAGCTACCTTAAGACTCCGACTCAGTGAGATAGTTGCGATGAGTAATTAGCGGGGGGTATACCCTTCGTAGGCATTCACCGCGTTGTACACCGCTGAAAGTGCTTCAAACCCACCAAGGACGTACATGAGTAGACTTAGTGGGTCTCGAGCTTCAATAAGCACTTTGAATGGTTCATCCTCGACGCGAATTGGTGGAGTAAGTGGCGCGTGAGGTTCATTGGCCAGTTCATGGATCACTGGAGGTGCATGTGGGCTTGCAGCACAAGTTTCGAGCACTTGGACACTGTTTTTTCTGCTTTCTTTTTACTATAGCGGCTAAAGGAAGAATAGCTCATTCTTTTCGTAGTATTCTTTTGGTAGAAATCCTACCAGAACATGGTTTATCTTGAGATAGCGATAAATTCTAGCTCTGTTGATAAATAGCTCAAAGGCAGGCTGTACCACTAAAGTCACCAGCCCTGAAAACACCCCAACCCTCTCAGTGGTATTTAACCAGCCCTGTTGATGATTGTCCTTCATACTCCCCTAGTATTATGGTCACCACTCCCAGGATCCATCACCCCAGCTCCTGTATCTCCCTAGACCAACAGCATTGGGAGGTCCACCTATCACTGAAGTACTGGTTTTCGCAAAACAACCACAACCCCTGCCTGGGTCGCAATCGCCTTGACCACTGGTCGCTCCGGTTGTAGGTCATTTCCCAGTCGGTTCTGGGTAAAGGCAGGATGCTGCGCTTTGAATTCCTCCACCAGGCCTTGGTAGAGTTGATCACGAGCTACCATCCGCTTCTCCTTCAACGCCTCCTGCGACACAGACAGACCACCCGCCAGCTGTTGGGCCTTAGCCTGAACGCGATCTGTCCAGTTCTCATACCCTCCCTTGACCATGTTCGGCAAGGCCTCAGAGGAGACCACCTCAAAACCCAGTTCCAACGCCATTGTGCGGATATAGTCTCGCGCCCGGCGAGTAGCCTCTGCGGTACCCACCCATCGCTTCTAACGACGGGTGACACCCAGTACCTTGTTTTGACTGTCGCTGAACCAACCCGTGAGAATCTCCAAGGTCTGCATCCCATTCTCGGGATCTGGCACTGTTATGGTGATGGTACCACCCGGCTGGAGGACGTGCCGCTTGAGAAAGTCAAGCCATGGAGCCCGTTGATCATGGGCGACGTGTTGGAAAGCGTTGAGGATGAAGACACGGTTGAACTTCATTCCTGGGACAGTAGGCTCATCCAAGTGGCTGATGTGCTGGACCACCAGACTGACTTGAGGGTTGGAGGGGTTGGCCAAGTTATTTAGGCGGACCACTTCCTGGATATGGGCCATGACTGTCTGTGAATCCGTCATGTCTGAGAGTGCCATATAGTAGGCTGTATCATGAACGTAGGCGAGACTGGGGTTGACTGAGTAGGAGACCGGCCCATACTTGCTCGACAGCCAGGGCAGAAGATACAACTTTGCTGGCTGAAGACTGGCCTCAAACCCCATGACAAAGCCTGCACCTTGCTCAATCGCATACTTGAGCGCATCGCCATTCCCAAACCCCAAGTCCAGCACTGTGTCCCCTTGTTGAACATGGAGCTTTGGCTTGATCACGCTGTTGAGGTCATCCGCCGCCCAGGCAAAGTTGAAATACCACACCGGGGCCTGTGGGCCATATGACTCCTTGGCCTGTGTGAATGTCATGACTGTATCTTGGTGGTGGCTCGACATCTTGAAGAGTTGGTGTCCAGGTCGAGTTGAAGGGGGATGACTTTGATTTGGAACTGTTGGAGTTGTTGGAGTTGTTGAGTGATGGGGAGAGTGGGAGAGTGGCTGAAGGAGAGGATAGAAGGATTGGTGGTTGAGTCAATTGAAAGTGGGAGAATGAGAGATGTCGTGTAGAGGAGGATGAGAGGATAAGAAGATGAGAAGATGAGATGGGGATCCAGGTGATTTGAGGAGAAGATGATTGGTGACTAGGTTGGTCAGTCAATAGGTGGAGGAGAGAGATTGAGTCAGTCAACTGTGAGAGATGTGGTCAGCAAGGGAGAAAGTCTAGCTCACCAACCAAGGCCAGAATGATATGGAGGAAGGTTCTGGGGAGAGAGGCACTTACTGTGGCTGTTGATCCTATCAATATCACCGATTTTGGTGTTAAGGTCAGTTTTTCTGCACCTTTAGACTGCGCAGCAGATTCTTTGAGCGCCTGAAGAGAGATCTTGGTGAGAACTCAAGGCCGTGGCTTTGAATGAATTGAGAAAGAAAGGAAAGAAAGAAGGGAGATCTGTGAATGACCCTGGTGGCCAAGAGGCGAAGAGAAAGGGACCCGTAGGTGGTTTGGTGGAGAAACAGGATCAGGATCAGTCCTGGAAGTCTGTGGGCAGTTCAACTGAAGAACCAGAGAGAGAGCAGATCTCAAGTTGATTGATGTCAATCACTTCAAGCTTGGAGGGGAGCGGTGGATAGGTCGCAAGTAGGAGATCAGGGAAAGAAAGGTCGTGGACTTGTTGAAAGCAGGAGCTGGCGGGAGACAAAGACACCTCAAGACGACAGAGGAAGAGACAGAGTGCGAGTGGTAGTGGAGAGGAAGAGAGAAGGAGGGTGGAGAGGCCTCTTCTTATACCTTGGCCATTGACGCACATGCGTCTTCACCCCCAGGCAGGTTACCCGATGTGGCGAGGCACTCAGGGTCCATGTGAAGTTGGACTGCCTGTGAAAGGACCTTTATGTGACAGGGTGAGGTCTCGAGAGAGGTGAGGTCTCAAGAGAGGTGAGGTCTCAAGAGAGGTGAGGTCTCAAGAGAGGTGAGAGATTGACTGGAGGGAAGGTCCTGACTGAGCTAGGGATTCGCGCCAAGTTAAATATCATAGAGAGAGACAGTCTGACCATACATTACCAGGGTCATCAGAGGAGAATCAAGATACGCGGATTGTCTATAGGAGAGGAAGAGAACAGGAGGGTGGAAAGGGCCCTACCTCACCTTGTCCCTTGGCCAACAGCGCACATACGTATTCATCACGAGGCAGGTAACCTAGAGTGGTGAGATACTCAGGGCTCCTATAAAGGTACACTATACGTGAAAGGACCCTTGTGTGATGAGGTGAGGCCTTGAACAAGGTGAGTTTTGGA